TGGAGGTGACCCCTCGCTCCTGGCACTGCCCCGTGCGCTGCCACCGATGGCTTGGCTGTGGCTCCTGGTCCTGCTGGCCCTGGCCGGGCCCGTGGGTGGCACCTGGGACACCTGCGGGTCAGTGGGCCCGGGATGTGGGGGGAGCTCGGGAACACTCGGGGGGTTCCCAGCACAACGGGGGCACAGACGGGGGGGACAACGGGGGACCTTCATCCTGAGCAGCCCCTGAGCAGGGCAGTGCTGGTTTGTGCTTGCAGAGGGACCTGCGGGCTCCGGCCCATGGCTGCTGACCACAACTCCCTGCTGCCCGACTACGGCCCCGCGGCCTTGGCCGACGGCACCTCCCGCCTCACGGGGGGCACCGGGGTCCAGCCGGGGGCCTGGCCCGGCATCGCCAGCATCCAGGCCACCTGGAAGAACGGCACGTGGCACATGTGCTCGGGTGTCCTCCTCAGCTCCAAGTGGGTCCTCACGGTCGCCCACTGCTTCATCAGGGCCAGGTGAGGAGGGGCAGGGACAGGGATGTCCCCACAGGTCACAGCACCATGTGCTGCTCCAGTCCTGGCTCTTTCCTCTCTGCTTCCCTCTCTGCCTTGGGAAGCAGAAGGCTGGGAAGCAGCCACAGCCCATGGCTCTGCTCTCCTCTTACCCCTCTCTCCTCCTCCTCCCCAGCGATGTCTACCGGTGGGATGTGGTGATTGGGGCCACAGATCTGACTCAGCCAGGCCCCGAGGCCGAGGTGAGGCACATCCAGAGGCTCCTGCTGCACCAGCACTATGTGGCTGCCAAGGCATGGAATGACATTGCCCTGCTGGAGCTGGACCAGCCCGTGGAGTGCAGCGACTCCATCCAGCTGGGCTGTGTGCCCGATGCCTCACTGAGGGTCTCGGAGCTCAAATCCTGCTACATCGCCGGATGGAGTTTCGGCAAACCTGGAAGTGAGGCCCAACAAGGACATGTGCCCTGAGGGTGCCCAAGGGACATGGGCTGGGCATCTGGGGACATGGGCTGGGCATTTGGGGACATGGGCTGGGCACAGCCACACTCCAGCTGTGGCTGCAGGGTCAGGGCTTGGAGCAGCCTGGGCTGGGGGAAGGGGTCCCTGAGCAGAGCTGGGAGTGGCACTGGATGAGCTTTAAGGTCCCTTCCACCCAAACCATTCTGTGACTCTCTGAAGAGACCCCCAGGCAGGGGAGGGGACTGGCACTGAGCTGATGGGGTCTCATTCCTCTCTGTTCCTACAACTCCTGGAGCAGATGTGGTGCTGCAGGAGGCCAAGGTCCACCTGATGGACACAGAGCTCTGTAACAGCAGCCGGTGGTACGCGGGGGCCGTGCACCCCGAAAACCTGTGCGCTGGGTA